GAACATCTTTTCCTTCACTGCGAATTCGCTCAAACTGTTCAATTATGGATCTTTATTTGGTGTGGGTTACAGGCTAGGAGATACACTGGAATTTTGGATCTCTTAAATTTTGTCTCATGTTGGGATTATTGCATAAAAAGGAAATCGATTGGAAGTCTAGTCTTATTCTGCCTAATTTGGTTCATTTGGCTCACTAGGCATGACAACGTATTCAAAAATATCAAAGCTAATCCAACTATTGTTGCAAACAACATCATTGCCACTTCCTTTTCATGGTGCAATCACCGGAATTCTCATGGGTGCGGGAATTGGATCGATTGGAGTTGCTCGCCATTTTAACATCTAAAACTATAATTTATTGTTCCTTTTCTTTATGTTTATGTTTTTTTCTTTCCTTCTTTGCCATTTTCTTTTCTCATTGTATTTTGGTCATGGTTTAGCCACTTTCTATTCGTGTTCCCTTTTTAATGATATTAGCCATTTCCAAAAAAAAAAACGTTTCTTTTTAAAAAACGTATAAATTACTTATTGACTAGTATTTTTGGGTTTAAAGCAAATCTTGTGTAAATTATGATCAAATTATCCCCTAATGTTTTAAGATGCTAAAAACTAAAAAGTAAAAACCACTACATTTTATTATATGTTGTGTTGCTTTTTGATGATACACAATGCTTTCATATATATACAACCGTTTGAAAATTTTGGAAATCTTTGGAATAATGGTGGACAACTCAAAATTGTCACTTGCTACCTACTAGCAGGCTACTTGAAGTAGCCATTATTTGAGTTTTGTGGATCACACCAAAATAGCCACTTGGTTGCCACGTGAAAGTATCGATTCTAGTGGCGGCCAAGTAGCATTTTTCTCTCGTTGGTTTTATTTAAGTTATGAATTTTATGTCATTTTTAGGCTATTTTTTCCTTTCTTTATAGCGATTTATTTGAAGACAAATGTGCTTTGTTCCTTTATTTTGGCCACTTGTAAATTATTTGTAATCCTCCTTTTGATTGTTATTAATAGAAAAAACTGCAAACAAAAAGTCCTTATATATTGGCCTCATAATCTATTTAATCCTTATATATTTTTTTTACTCAATTAAGTCCCAAAAACCGGTAATCGTATTCAATTCACTCGGTCAACATGTCATCTAACTTTTGAAAAATTATACTTTTGGCACAGATTTCAATTTTTTTTACAAATTTGGTCTAAAATTTACACTTTTGGCCCAGATTTTAAATTTTACTACAAATTTGGTCCAACTTTACCCTTTTGGTCCAAATTTCAGAATTTTGTTATGAATTCCTCCTAACTTTAGTTTTTTTACAACTTTTTTTCTCAAAAAAAAATTAAATATATTTTTTCTTTATAAAATCATATTTATACAAAAAAATATATTTTCACATAAAAAATCTTTATATTTTCTTTTGTAAAAACAAATTTATATATTTTTTATAAACATCTATTTTATAATAAAAGCATTTGTATTCAAACACGTTTATATATAAAATGTATACAAATACATATTTTATAAAAATATATTCAAACATGTTTTATAAGCAAATGTATACAAACATGTTTATATATATATATATATATATATATATATATAGATATATATATAATATATATATATATATATATATACAAACATGTTTTTGATAAAAAAAACTTCATTTGAGAAGTAAATTATCGACAATTAAATTATCCTTTTAAATGTATACTCTAAATAATAGTTATATAAGAATTAATACAATAAAATAATAACTCATATTCAAAATTCAAAAGGAATTTGATCATTCATAAAAAATGTGCGTCTTCAAATTAAAAAACAAAATTTATTGTCATACAACTTTTTTTTCAACCCACACAATGTTATATTTTTGTTTTAAACCCAAAATAATATATCAAAATGGGTTAATTTCCAAGTTATAACTTACCATCTTACAAAGCAAATTAGATTTCACTGTTAGGAGTTTACCTTTTCATTACCTTTGTGTCAAACTTGGGTGCCCAATCATACATGTTACCGAATAAAAGTAATATTGAAAGAAACTATTTGCACCCATCATTTGGCATATGTAAAAGGCTAGTGTGTGTGTGTGTGTGTGTATATATATATATATACACACACACACACGTTTACTATGAAATAGGTGTTTGTATATAGTTTTTTATAAATATGTGTTTGTATACAAATATATTGATAACAAAATAGGTGTTTGTATTGTTTTTTTGTAAAATATGTGTTTGTATACATTTTGTTTTATAAAAACGAATTTTTTATATATTTATTTACTTAATAAATACCTATTTTTAAAAATAGGTATTTCGTATACAAAAAAAGTTTTTTTTGTAAGATTTATATAGAAAATATAAGTTTTTTTTATGTGAAAATATGTTTTTTTTTCATAAATATGATTTTTTTAAAAGAAAAAACATTTTCAAAAATATTTTTGAGAAAATAAAAGTTGTAAAAAAACTAAAGTTATGATGAATTCATAACAAAATTTTGTAATCTATGCCAAAAGGGTAAATTTTTGACCAAATTTGTAATAAAGTTTAAAATCTAGGCCAAAAGTGTAAATTTTAGACCTAATTTGTAATAAAATTTGAAATCTGGGCCAAAAGTGTAATTTTTGAAAGTTGGATGACATGTTGACAAGGTAAAAAGGTTAAATTGAATACGATTACCGGTTTTTAGGACATAATTAAATAAAAAAAATATAATGACTAAATCAATTATGAAACCAATATGTAAAAACCTTTTTACAGTTTTTCCTTATTAATAATACAAACCATCTATTTCTCCACGTCGATGTACACAATCACCCTGATTGTGGAACCATGTTAAATGCGCTTGACTCATAAGTTTATTTGTTTGCAATTTACTTTTGATATATCTTATATATGTTACTCTCATTAGTAGACATTGTTATCGTATTTTCGCATCCAAGTTTGTTATTTGTTTCGTTGTTAGATTTTACACATGTTTATGAGACCAAGTGTTTGATATCTATTCGGGATATGTTTGAATTGCTAAGGTAATAGTTTGGATCTTCCATAAGATCCCCCAACATATTGTACATATTCTTTGGTATCTTGTACTAAAAAAAAAGGTGTCATAGGGTGTTTAGGAATTAGGATCAATTGAATTTAATATTTGACGTCAGGGCCGCCCATGGCAAGTTCAAAGGGTTCAACTGAACATGCCCACTAAAATTGAGGGCCCAAGTTTTTTGTCTTTGTTTTCTAGGGTAGCCATTCAGGGCGTATGGAAATTCAAATGAACTGTATGTCAATTTCATTTATGGAGGATGGATTTATACACAGAGATACAACAGAAATATGAGATATAAACTCCTATTCTAGTGGAGACTCTTGACTGACTGTTTGTGTTTATATTATACACGTTTACAATGACAATGTTGACTATTTGACTAATACCCTCCGGCAAGCTCAAGTGCGGGACGGACTTGCAGCTTGGAACGAAGAAACATAACTCGTCCCTTTCCTAACGGCTTGGTGAATATATCTGCCAGCTGGTCAATGGAAGAAACGTAGCAGATTTTGAGTTGATTTGATTCTACTTGTTCCCGAACAAAATGAAAATCAAGTGCAATGTGTTTGGATATGGTACTTATTACTGGATTTTTGCTCATGAATATTGCACCTACGTTGTCACATAGTAAGAGTGGTGGATTTGAAATGGGCGCATGGAGGTCACATAACAGTTGTTTGATCCAAAGTAATTCAGCTGTAGTATAGGCCAAGGATCTATACTTTGGATTTATAAAAAAATAAAAAAAATAATGAATTATTAAAATTGATTTTTTTTATCTTTTAAATTTAAATAAATAAACAAAATAAACTAATGAGCTTTAATTTGGGAATTTTGAAACAAAAAGGTAAGTCCATTAATGAAATTGATATTCATTTATTACTAAATTTATTGTAATTATTACATTAAATTATTATATGGTATTTTTAAAATAGAAAAACTCATAAAATGACATGTGGAAATAAAATTAATTCAAAATAACCACAAAATAACATTTGGCAAATTGAATGAGAGTGTGACATGTGGCAAAAAAACCTTCATTTATTAGAGTAGATTTGAATAGTTTTGCTCTGTTTGGCATTCAATCTAGTAGGTTTAGACGTTTCTAACTTCAGACAACGTCTATAGATTTATCATTTAGTTATATCTTAGACGCATCATCTAACAACATATCCGTGTGATTTTGTCACATATCAGACTAAGGATCTTCTGATTTCAATCGTTACTATAATGAAGATAAAAGTCTCAACACCACAAGGAAGAGATTCAGACATACGGTTGTTAACGGGGCACAAAATATATAGTAGGTTACATCTACGAATATTAAAGTGTGGAAAATAATATTCTTGTTACATTCATAATAGTTGGATGGCATCATGGGAATATATACCATTATCCATATATTGATTGTTTTAGTAATCAGTAAATAGTAGTTGTCAATAGGGATCGGAAGAGAAGATGTACACCAATGCATTTGAATTAGGAATACCAATGTTTTAATTTTCATTTTTATTTTTGGGTTAATGTGTCAGGGAAAATGATGTCCGGAGAAGAAATTATACTAGTTTCTATGCATTGCCATAAGTTGGACATAATAAATAAATAAACAAATAAATTTTGGCTGGAAAATAGAATATTGGGAAAAATTGAATTGAAAACATCTATTGTCAATATGGATGTCACATCAATAAAATATATATTGACATACCACTCACCTATGTGTTCATCAATTAACAAGTTTGTTTTAAGGTAATACTATATAATATATATGATTCATAAAAAACTTAAAAAGAGTTGTTAATTATTAATTTAGTATTTGTCCTCTACTTTATTAAGATAGAAAACACAAACGTATTGATTGAAGAGTCATAAATCTTTAATAATCAATAATCAATAACTACGTACACCAAAAGCCTTATTCATTTGTGGTTTAAAAATTGTTCAAGAATCAGAAGACTTGATAATGAAATTCTGGCGAGTGATAGGGTTTAGGACGACAGGAGGTCCAGCAGTGCGAGGCCATGCGTTTTTCATCCTCTCTGTTTCATCTTGCCACTCTTTCGACATTGTTTTTGGAGTTGTACCTTTTCAAAATATACAAATATATAACTCAATTTCTGATTATATAATTAAATAACTTTTTTATTTGAAAACATATATATTGAATCAAATCTATATGTACGTAGAGAAAATTATCTTAATAGCATACATGCACATATAATGATAAAGTTCATTAGAATAGAATAGAAATACTTGCCTCCAAATAGTTTTCTATCAGAAACGATATGGTCTAATGTGAACCCTAATGCAGTAACTCCCATGCATGCAAGAAGCATCTTCGACATCTTTCTTCCAATTCCAAATCACCTGATGAAATAAAAAATAAATAAAAGACAGATCGATCATAATTGTAATAGAAACACCCGTCAAGGCTCCACAATGTTATTTTTTGAACAACCCAATTAACAACATGAACACCCCAGAAATTTTAAAACAATTTCTTGTAAAAAAAAAGCATTATGGATGAGATCGAAAAGATAAGACATAAACCGAAGAACGCACTCACCAAACTGAAAAGGTTCTTGAGAGGAGAATGAAGCTACGGATGCTTATTACAATTAATATAAATAATAAAAATGGATGCTAATATTAGTTGTACATTTGTTACTTCTCAAGAAACTCATATGCCTATGAAATCGTCAAGATCTAACAACTTCCGTATTTGTCTTTCCCTCATTACTATATATCTATACATTTGTTATTCTTAAAAAACTCATGCCTATAAAACAGCTCTTCTTTTTTTTTTTTTTGAACAGCACATGAGTCGTTTATTGGAATGCTAGTATGATACGTGGTTGTGAAATTGCATGTGTGTGTGTGTTGGTTCAGGAAATATTGAAGAAAATTTAATGCAATAAACAATTCTTTCTTGTTTGATGATGATGATTCCACGTTTACTTTTGATTTTAAATAGAGCTACAATCTGTTTGTTTTATAAATGTGAATTATTGTTGTTTTCTACAGGGTATCAATGGGGTATCAATGGCTAGTTTGCAAGAAAATGTGTTAGTTTGTGATTAGAGCAAATGAGAAGGGAATTCGTGATTGTTTTAGGGTGTAATTGAGCCTTAAGTATTTTTCAAGCACAAGCTAAACTCGAGAGTCGAGACACTTTGATTAATTATTTAAAAACTAAAATACCATTAAACTACAATGCAAATACTTCAGAAACATTCATACAAAAGGCTGAAATCTATGATATTGTAGCCCAAATTTTACAGAAATATGCTAATCATTTGGTTCTGAAAAATTGTTCTCTCATTGGAACTCATGTCACAAGAAGCCTCAAAATAAATAAATAAAAACAAAATTCGACATAAAATGTTAAATTTGTTACAAAATCTCAAGACAATTTCCGTGACAAATTTGTCAATCCACATCCAATGCATTTAAGCATGACTGTTCCTGTCGTGGGGTCCGGCTTAATCACAAATTTAACACCCAAAAAATCTCTTATATTCCTCAATGTCTCAATCCCATAAGGCACAAGCTTTCCCACACGAATCTTTGATACATCTTGTGGACACAATGCACAAAGTAGAAACAACAAACCCTGCAACACACACACTGAGTCAGACCCAACCTCTTATCAGACGCAGTAACAAGCATATTAAACAGTCTGAATCTGACCGAGTCAGACCCAACCCTTATACCTGGTGTGAAGAATCTATGACACCACCTTGCTCGATCTCCCCAAGTAAAAGGGAAGCAATTTGCTCACCAACTTCCTCTGGTGGCATAAGTTCTTTCTTTTCATCAACATCCATCTCATTATCATCATTATCACCTCTAGCATAAGAATTTGTGGTGTCCACAGATATAAAACATCCAGATGTTGTTTCAGCCACCAATGAGATCCCATAACCAGGCGAACTACAAATCATTAAAAAACGTACACAACTTAATTAGTAAACACACTTCAAATAAAATTGAAACTAATTTTGACACATACTTTCCAGCTTGTGCACCAGCTTTATGATCAGTGAATATATGAACATCGGGAAGCAAACGATTGAAGATTCCACGAGCAGCATGTATCATTGTTGTTTTCAAATTGAACTGATACTCTTGTTGAAAAACTAATTCCCCTTATTCTTTTCACCATACCTTCATCAGTCCATGTAACTGCCTGTAAAATGTAAAAAGAAAATGAGATATGAAAGATCAAAGATGTGAATTTGTATCAAATGGGGAGAACAAGAACAAGAACAAGAAGGATGACCTTTAAACTGTTGTGAACAATGGGAACTGATAGGGTAACTTCACCACCTCCTTTAGGAGCAACCCCACGGCTCTCAATCTTTAATTCTAATCCTTCTGAAGGAACTCCAAAACGTTTTAATAGAGGTAAAGTTGTTGATCTGAATGTATCAACAGATGGGTCTTTAGGATCGTTTGTTATCCCTGAAAGCAACATGTGATTGATGATGTAAATCAGTAGAATGAAATTGAGATGAAAAACATGAAGGGGGTGTAAGGTTACCTTTGAGCTTAATGGAAAGGGGTTTTTTCCCAAACAAACCAAGAACAATCAAAGGTTCCAGAAAATAGCCAATTGATCTACTCAATCCACAATCATGCTCCAGATATCCCCCACCCATCACTATCCCAGGTTTGTATTTCAACTTCGTCCCTACCAATTCAACCAGCAAATCGATTTCAAACTATCATTTGCTTCGAATGAACAGAGATTTAACTTAAACTACTATACAAATTAGCTTATATTCTCTTGAATTTCTATTTTACTAGTACGTAAACAAGAACATTCAAAAAATTGGAACATGAAATTAAAAAAAGAATAAGAAAACCTAGGATTACCAGTTTCGTTGATTTCGACATGACAATCATCGGAGATTGTCTCGAGAAGGCGGAGAAACGAGACCTCATGAGGAAGGAGTCCAGGCCAGGTGGCGTCGGCACGAATATCCTCGATTAGAATCGGTGTTGAAGCGAGAGTTGATAGAAGTAGTCGTTGCCTTAGGTTTTGACTACCTTTAAGCTTCATATACGATACCTTCCCCATCTTTTCTTCTCTTCTTTAGCTGCCGCCGATTCAAATCTCGAGTAGCGAAGGAGCGGCGGGCTGCCGGAATTTACAGAGGCGTCTTTTTTCCTTAAACCCTCGCACTTCGACAGCTGAAGAATTAAAACAAAAGGAAAAGGGCACAAATTATTTTACTGTTGGGTTTATGTGAAAGAATTGTCAACAAATTTAGTCCTTTAACTTAGACTAAGTTACATAGATAATCCCTGTTATTGCAAATTGCACTCCCGTCTGATTCTTTTTTCAATAGTCATCCGGTCCTTAAATTTCTATTTTGTTGATACTTTTGTGTATGTGATTAACTTTTGAAATGTCTAAAATATCCTTCTCGAAATTCTTTTAACATTTTATTTAGTTATTTTACTTATTATATATATCAAATATGAACCCCACCATCCATCATCTTCTTACTCACCCCATTTTGTCCAATTTTGTTGCATATATGCAAGATGAAATTGTTGCTCCGATGTGTTATGGAAAAGCTATCCAAGTTTGTGCAAATAGTATTGATGATATAAAGTTTATGTATGTGCCGTTTTCGGACAATGAATATTTCTTGTGGAAAATTTAAAGTTTCATGAAAAACATTGGGAATTTGGATCTCGACATGTACATTAAGTGTTGTTTGTTTTTTTCTAAAAAACCAATTATGACCGTTTATTGCTGCGCCGCACAGCACACGCGCAACACTTGGCCCTTCGCAACTATTTGTTTTTCAGAAGACTTTTGACTTAAAAAATGTTGTGTGTGTGTTGCGTGGCGCAGCACTTGATCCTCTGCTTCAAACTTCTTCACACCTTACTTTAACTTATTGTAGCAGTCTACACAGGTTAAAAAACAAACAAACTTTTTATTACATGTTGCAGCCGTTTGGTCCCTCTCTTCTGCTACAGTGTTGCAGAGGTGGTCTGCAGACTTCAGACATTTTCGCTTCGAAAAACAAACGGCACCTAAATTTGATGCGGTCATCATCGCGCTCACACACACATATTGAAACTAACAAACATACACATACCTTAAAAACCTACAACTTAATCAAACACATGTACACCGAAAATTAAACACAGATACTGAAAGCATTCAACCAATTATTGTCAATTACTTTGACTCCCTCTCTTCCTTCTCTACCTCTCTCCTCCCCGGGTATATAAATACGGATATACACCTCTATGTACAATAACTATACAATTAATACATAATTTTGACGTTGAGTTTTGAAAACAAAAGATGATGCTTTCAATTTTTTGGAATCGGCGAGATTTTATTAAAGACCAAACTTAGCAAGATGTCAAGCAGGCCACAACCCAAAACATGTTACAAAGTACAGAGTACGGTTTAAGAAAATACGCCAACTTTAAGGAAGGGAGCAAGTTACAAAATGCTAAATGGGTTATAACTGTAACACCTCATTTCTACTATAGCCATAGAGTGTAATATTGACTAATTACTATAAAATATGAAATAGAAATATGTTACATTTAAGCCAAAATAATCATCATAAATGTGTAGAAAACGTCAATGCGATTTCTATAAATAGATAGAACGCGTGAATCTGACTTTGTATGAAGAAGTTATGTTTCTTCGAAGTTTCGCGATTTAACCAATACGACTCAACGTATCGTAAAAAGTGAATTTTAGATAGGTTAATTATTAGTCTAAATAATCTAAACAAAAGTCGTAGCAGTCGTAAAACTGAGAGCGTGCATATAGAGAATGTCCAAATCTGACTTTGTATGAAGAAGTTATTATTTTTCCAAGTTTCAGCGCAGCTGTGTGCGACACAGAAACCGAAATCAAGTTCGGTCGATTGTTAGGAAAATCCATCTAAATGGAGAGTTGAAGATCTCATCTATATGATTTCGTCGATATGAAGACAATCGGGAACAAAATCTATAGGAAGAAGTTATGAATTTTACACGGTCGTTAGCACTATAAATGGACCAGGAGTTGCCACGTGTGGATATACAAAACGTCAAAACGTAAAAAATGGAGATCGTATGAGAGTGATATATTTTTTAAAGATATGCGATTTTACCTAGAATAAATGGACCAGGAGTTGCCACGTGTCCGAACCAGTGGCACCCTTGCCAATCACGCTTGGGCGCGGTGCGCAGGTGGTCGGGACGCGGTGTGCAGGTGTAACATCCGGATTTCTAGGTACTGTATTTATCTAATTATTTTTGAGTTTTGGAGAGGGACTCGGCGAGTAGGCGCTTAGACTCGCCGAGTAGAGCCGCGCATTGTTGGACTGGATTAATGACTGGACTCGGCGAGTCCATACGTGGACTCGGCGAGTCCACGCTGTTTAATGAAACCCTAATTTTTTGGGTTTGGGACCTATTTAAAGGCCCTTAGGGCCGTCACTTGCGGCTACCAAACCCCAGAGAGAAACCCTAAAAGAGCTAGAGCGTTTGTGAGAGGAAAGGAGCCATTTCTTGATCTTTGTGATTGATTCTTACAAGAAGGAGGTGATTCCAGCTTGGAGGTGACCAAGGAGGTTGTGCATCTGGGGATTTCGAGCAAAAGACTTCATCTTTGAGGTATTATGTCGCCCCTTTATCTGTTTTGTTGAAGGAATCCATAGATGTAGAGTTTTTATGTCTTTTATTGGAAGGAGTTGTGAGAATATGGCCCCTATTCACTTTGAGACTTCGGATCTGGACCCATAGTGGTCTAAAGAGCTCATTCCAGCTTGCTTTATGTTGAGCTATGGAGGCAATGAGCTCAGGTTGTTGTTTTTGGGGCTAAATCACCAAGTAAAGCCTCCTAGGCGTCACATGAGTGTCAAGATCCAAGCTTTACGTGATTATCAGGCTTGGGAAGGTCAGATCTATGGTTCTAAGGAACAGATCTGACCTCAGGAGGTCAATTGAGTTTGTGCATGACATGAACTCGTCGAGTCCAAGGGCGGACTCGGCGAGTAGGGTTAGGGTTTCCCGTGAATCACACTGTGAGTGACTTGTCGAATTGGGGGAATGACTCAGTGACTCAGAAGGGGGATAGAGGACTCGAGTTCACGACTGAACTCGCCGAGTCACATTTGTGCACTCGGCGAGTCTGGTCAAGGGTTGACCGTTGACTTTTGTTGACTTTTTGGGTTTGGTCAACAATGGAACTTGTGGATTGTTTGAAGGGTAAAATAGCCTTTTAGCCTTCTTAGAGGACATGTGAGAGTCTAGTCTAGCTTAGAGAGTCGTGATTGATTGAGATGATTATGTTATGTATATAGGCAGAGGCTAGATCAGTATATACACGGGCGGGATATTATCCAAGACATCCGAGGTGAGTCTTCTCACTATACATTACCTAGAGTGGTATTTGTGTGTAGACCAGAGGGTCTTGTATGCTATGTGTATGTATGAGATTATGTGCATTGTATAGACCGGACCGAAGGGTCCAACGATACAGACCGGACCGAAGGGTCCAACGAGCTATGACCGGACCAGAGGGTCCAACGAGCTACGGGACTGGAGGGTCCCGCTGAGACACATCGGACCGGAGGGTCGTATTGTAGCCTCGAGTGGCGTATGTGTTGTATGTGGTATATTGGGGAACTCACTAAGCTTTTATGCTTACAGTTGTTGTGTGATGTGTTTCAGGTACTAGTGAGGATCGCGGGAAGGCGCCGGCATGATTCGTACACACGAGAGAGGATTTATTTATATGAGATCTTGGGACATGTTTTGTGATGATACAGAGATTTATTATGATTTTGTGATTTTTATGTGGTGGAAAGTATGTTTTGAAATGAAAAATTGTTTTGAAAAAATTGGGTGTTACAAGTTGGTATCAGAGCCTTGGTTTGAGGGATTCGGGTGCACCTTCGGGCGTATCTGAACTCAAACTGAGGATTTGAGAGAATTTCAAAATAAAATCCACAAAATTTCATTAAAGAGTAGAATGTTTTGAAAGAGCAGAGCAGAGCAGTGTGTACGATCAGCCAGCGCCCGAACGGTGATTTCCCAAAATACCCTTACCTTATGGGTTATGAGATATTATGAGATATTATGCATGCTAGAGTAGGCTAGGTAATCATATTAGGACTAGAGTGGCCTGATTTGTGATGCCTTAGCCTAGAAATGATTTTGCTGCTATGTGATGCTTGAGAGCGAATAGGTAGCAGTGAGGAGCTGTTGAGAGGCCTACCGAAGGGTAGCCTATGCCAGTGAGATATTGTATACTTGTGATCTGGGATCCAAGGAGGAGGACTTAGAGTGAATGCTGATGCGGTGTGGATGGTAGTATAGGGCCCGTACTACTGAAGACACCGGAGCAGCGCGCACCCTAAGTAAGAATCCATTGGGTACTAAGGAGCAAGTAGGGTTGAGTTATCGAGTGCGAGTATACTCGAGCGAGTCTCTGATATCTTGTGTTGTATTTCAGAGAGACATCATGGTTGGGACGCGACACCAGCCAGGGACTAGCGAGGGGGTTGTGAGCGATGAGGAGCTCCGCCAGATGATTCATGATGAGGTGGCTGCTGCCATCCGCGCTGAGATTCCAGAGATGTTCGGGTCTATCAAGACCACGATGATGGAGGCTTTTGATGAGCGGTACGCCGCTCTTACTGATGCAGCTGTTGCTGCGGCCACCGCAGCCGTTGCTGCTGCCAGGCCGCAGGGGGGTGACTCGTTGCTGTACAGAGAGTTCAGCAACACGAAGCCACCAGAGTTTGATGGGACGCAGGATCCGATTGCTGCTATGAGATAGATTACCGATGTTGAGGGTTGTTTCTATATATGCTCGTGTCCAGAGCATCTGAGGGTTTGGTTTGCGCTGAACCAGCTTCGCTTGGGAGCGAAGGACTGGTGGAAGTTTGTGACAGCAGACTTCACTACTGCAGAGCTGACTGCGGTGACCTGGGAGAGGTTCACCACGATGTTTCGAGATGAGTATGTTCCTCCAGTGGAGAGGGAGCGATTGGCTCAGGAGTTCTTGACCCTCAAACAGGTTACTGATTCGGTTACTGTGGTTACCCGGAAGTTTCATGAGAGGGCGATGTTCTGCCCTGAGCAGGTGTCTACTGAGCAGGCACGTATGAGCCGGTACTTGGGTGTTTTGAGGAGGGATATATGGGAGTTCGTGTCGAACTCGACTTATCGGACATTTGCTGAGCTCCAGGCAAATGCC